CCAATTTTGCCTTTGTTCCACATCTATTTGGGAAGTCACTATTAAATACATTGAATATACCAATATGATAGTAAGGGTAAAAGAAAAGCGAGACTTAACCTTGCACATATGATTTAGTGGTGCACGTTCAAAACAAAAAAGCTGACATCACTTTTGTGCTTCCTAATATCATAATTGGAAACTTATTCCAATGTGTTAAATAGTTTATCACATTATAATTTCCACTAGATTGCTACTATGAATTTATTTCTTATAACAAGTGTGTATTTCAATATCCAACCATTAATCTTTAATTGCTGATCGATTCATCAACCCAACAATTTTACAACATCTAATGCGTTTTTTTGAACATTCGTCTAGGTTTACCTATAAACTTCCAACATTAATAGAATATAACATCAAAATTTGTGAAGGGTGTAATATTATTAGATTATCCGAATGGTTTGATTTAGAGCCTATTTGGTAACTCATATTTAAATATTATCAGCCTTATCAATTAATCTTTTTATCAAACACTTTGTTTTGACTTTGTGGGCTGAATTGAGAAACAATCAAAATAATTAAGGGTGAAGTTACTTAATTTTTCTGGCTGAATTGACTAGAGTTACTGTATAACATCATTTTAGCTATTTTCATGTAACTTTTTCTTAATTTATAAACAAAACATATTTTAAATATATTTTTTCTATTTCCGTAATTCAGTTGCCACTTCGGTTATAATTTCATAAATCTCAACATATTGAGCTAATTTAGTCAATTGCGGTGTTACCAAATGAACCCTTAATGTCCAACCTTCAGTCCTCAATTTGGTATAGTTAATTTCACTTTTGGTCCTACACACTTTACTTCAATTTCAAATTTGGTTCCTGTATTTGAGTTTAACCAATTTTAGTACATGACTAATGTTTTTGACCATTTGGGGACCTTTAATTTTGTCCAACTCTCTGATGCCTCTTTGATGAATAAAACCACCAAACATATCAATAGGAATACCATTTAAAAGCGAAAATCAATAGTCATGTATCAATAGTGGTCACAATAAAAAAGGTTGGGCAATTATGGAATTGGTACATTTAGTACGTGTATGATCAAAATTGGAATGAATTCTTTACTATTCCTTCCTTCCCATTTTTATGATACATTTTCCCTTTTTGTTTGTCCCAGTCATTTGCAAAAATTGAACTTCACTAACTTCTACAATCCCACTTTATTATTTTCTCTATTATTATTATTATTATTATTATTATTATTATTATTATTATTATTATTATTATTATTATTATTATTATTATTATTATTATTATTATTATTATTATTATTATTATTATTATTATTATTATTATTATTATTATTATTATTTCATTCTTTACTCTTTGTGGAACCATCTTACATTTTCTTACTTCTTTGAGAGGAAGGGAATAATTGATTATATTAACAGGAATCAGGGGAAAAAATTGTTGGCGACCTCTAATAGATATCACGTATGCACAAACTGGAGTGGCTAGCAAAGTTGTGGGTCCTAGGAATTTGCTTTACTAGACTGCATAGGTAGAGTGTTGACTATAGTCACCAATCTACGCTTGTAGTCTTGTGAAGAATGCTCTTAGAACCCCCAACTTTACTAGCCGCTCAAACTTGTACAAATGTTGAATATTTATATCAATAAAAAATATAGTAGTAACATAGAAGATGCTTTGTGTATAATGAGGTAATTTTACGTTTTGTTGAATAAATTGATGTTATTTCAAATGAATACATTTCTTCTTCTCCCAATTTTGCCTTTGTTCCACATCTATTTGGGAAGTCACTTTAAAATACATTGAATATACCAAAAAGATAGTAAGGGTAAAAGAAAAGCGAGACTTAAACTTGCACATATGATTTAGTGGTGCACGTTCAAAACAAAAAAGCTGACATCACTTTTGTGCTTCCTAATATCATAATTGGAAACTTATTCCAATGTGTTAAATAGTTTATCACATTATAATTTCCACTAGATTGCTACTATGAATTTATTTCTTATAACAAGTGTACATTTCAATATCCAACCATTAATCTTTAATTGCTAATCGATTCATCAACCCATCAATTTTACAACATCTAATGCGTTTTTTTGAACATTCGCTCAGTTGTACCTATAAACTTCCAACATTATTAGATTATAACATCAAAAATTGTGACGGGTTTAATATTATTAGATTATACGAATGGTTTGATTTAGAGCCTATTTGGTAACTCATATTTAAATATTATCAGCCTTATCAATTAATCTTTTTATCAAACACTTTGTTTTGACTTTGTGGGCTGAATTGAGAAACAATCAAAATAATTAAGGGTGAAGTTACTTAATTTTTCTGGCTGAATTGACTAGAGTTACTGTATAACATCATTTTAGCTAGTTTCATGTAACTTTTTCTTAATTTATAAACAAAACATATTTTAAATATATTTTTTCTATTTCCGTAATTCAGTTGCCACTTCGGTCATAATTTCATAAATCTCAACATATTGAGCTGATTTAGTCAATTGCAGTGTTACCGAATGAACCCTTAATGTCCAAACTTCAGTCCTCAATTTAGTATAGTTAATTTCACTTTTGGTCCTACACACTTTACTTCAATTTCAAATTTGGTTCCTGTCTTTCAGTTTAACCAATTTTAGTACACGACTAATGGTTTTGACCATTTGTGGACCTTTAATTTTAACTCTCTGATGCCTCTTTCATGAATAAAACCACCAAACATATCGATAGGAGGACCATTTAAAAGCGAAAATCAATAGTCATGTATCAATAGTGGTCACAATAAAAAATGTTAGGCAATTATGGAATTGGTACATTTAGTACGTGTATGATCAAAATTGGAATGAATTCTTTACTATTCCTTCCGTCCCATTTTTATGATACATTTTCCCTTTTTTATTGTCCCAAAAGATGATCATTTGCGAATATTGAATTTCATCAACTTTTACAATCCCGCTTTATTATTTTCTCTATTATTATTATTCCATTGTTTACTCTTTGTGGAACAATCTTACATTTTCTTACTTCTTTGAGATGAAGGGAATAATTGATCATATTAACAGGAATTGAAAAAAAAAACTTTGTAGGCGACTTCTAATAGATGTCACGTATGCACAAACTGGCGTGGCTAGCAAAGTTGTGGGTCCTAGGAATTTGCTTTACTGGACTGTATAGGTAGAGTGGTGACTATAGTCACCAAATCTACGCATGTAGTCTTGTGAAGAATGCTCTTAGAACCCAGAACTTTACTAGCCGCTCAAACTTGTACAAATGTTGAATATTTAATTCAATAAAGAATATAGTAATAACATTGAAGATGCTTTGTGTATAATGAGGTAATTTTACGTTTTGTTGAATAAATTGATGTTATTTCAAATGAATACATTTCTTCTTCTCCCAATTTTGCCTTTGTTCCACATCTATTTGGGAAGTCACTTTTAAATACATTGAATATACCAAAAAGATAGTAAGGGTAAAAGAAAAGCGAGACTTAAACCTGCACATATGATTTAGTGGTGCAAGTTCAAAACAAAAAAAAAACTGACATCACTTTTCTGCTTCCCAATATGATAATTGGAAACTTATTCCAACGTGTTAATAGTTTATCACATTATAATTTCCACTAGATTGCTACTATGAAGTTATTTCTTATAATAAGTGTCCATTTCAATATCCAACCATTAATCTTTAATTGCTAATCGATTCATCAACCCAACAATTTTACAACATCTAATGCGGTTTTTGAACATTCGCTCAGTTGTACCTATAAACTTCCAACATTAATAGATTATAACATCATAATTTGTGAAGGGTTTAATATTATTAGATTATATGAATGGTATGATTTAGAGCCTATTCGGTAACCCATATTCAAATATTATCAGCCTTATCAATTAATCTTTTTATCAAACACTTTGTTTTTTACTTCGTGGGCTGAATTGAGAATTAATCAAAATAATTATGAGTGAAGTTACTTAATTTTTCTGTCTGAATTGACTAAAGTAGGAGCATTATTTATACTAAATCTCATACTAAAATCATCTTGAATATTATAGAAAAAATATATCGAACCAACACGAATTTTATTTGAGTTACTTTTATAATTATGAAATTTTTGTTATGGAACAAAATATGATTTGTAACAAAACGAGGTTAATGTATTCATCCTCATCAGTTTCCATAAACTAAATATGAATTGTTGTGTGACTAAATATCATTTGTCGTTGTTGTCGTTGTTGTCGTTGTTGTCGTCGTTGTCGTCGTTGTCGTCGTTGTCGTCGTCGTCGTCGTCGTTGTTTATTATTATTATTATTATTATTATTATTATTATTATTATTATTATTATTATTATTATTATTATTATTATTATTATTATTATTATTATGACTGCTATTATTTCTATCATTATAGTTATTGTTAATGTTATTAGTATTATTGTTATTGTTGTGGTTATTGTTATTATTATTACTATTATTATTACTATTATTATTTTTATTATGCTTTAATTTTTTTTATTTTGTTAATAACGGTTCCTTAACGGTTCTGTAGACATATGTTTTGTAGGAACCGGGAACCGAACCGTTAACAAAGAATATGAATTGAAGCGCTAACAATTTATAACTCATGTATACGAACCGAACCGGATTTTAACAGTTCCGTTCCAATGGTTCTCCGATTCTTAGTTCCAAAATCCCACCCCTACTCAGATTATCGAGATAAGTCCAAAACTGGAAAAGCAGGGTTTGTTGCCAAACAAATGTACAAATATGTGGAAGTATGAACTCTTGTTGGACTATGAGAGTATGAGTTCATCGGTGAAGATTCCTCTAATCTTTTTTTTGTATTTTTGTAGTGATGTACTATTTTTGTATGTACTCTCGAAGGCTTAAAGTACAATTTTTTAATGTACTAGCCAACTTTTTCATAAGCACAAATTTGTTATATGCACATGGCTTTAACATCTAATGCGATTCAACATGTCCACTGTCACTTTTTATTGATCAGGAAATGCACAAAAAGACACAACTGCACAACACAATTTTCAAACACGTGCATCCTACACCTTACACTAACGGGTTGAACATGTACAATACATGCACACATAGTTGGAAAAATGTTAAATTTAAAGCCCCTTAACATAATCAATTATCCACACTCATCATGTAATAGTCGCGCACATTATTATCCACACACAAAGAACATGACACATACTAGTATCACATAAAGGAGTGAAACAAGACTTCATAGAAATTTATTCTCCTTTGAAGCGTCTCGTTCAAGGAGGACCTCCTCAAACTCAAAGTCACCACACTCAGCTGTTGGTAGGGGTGGGATCGGTCCGGTCTGGGTCGGGTTTTTGCTAAACCCAGAAATTACCCGGAAGGTCTCGGGTTATGAAAATTAGGGACCGGAACAAAGCCCATTATATTCGGTCCGAGTCGGGTTTTTGGTAGCCCGGTTTCGGTCCGGGTTCGGGTTGGGTCGGTTAAAGCCCGAACGTGAAATATCTCATTGTTCTTTTATTTTTTAACACCTATTTTCAAACAAAATTAATCAAAAATACAAAGCGCAAATAATAACACAAATATTAGTCCCCAAAATCACCAACAATTCAAATCCAAAGAAGATAATTATCTTAATATTTTATTTACGATGCATATAAATAAATAATATAGGTTTCTTAAAAATATTACGAAATAAAATTTATAGATAAAAATGTGAATAGAGTTGCTATAAACATATTTTCATGGTAATTACGCTAAAAATTTGAACAAATTTGTAGTCACTAAAAGTTATAAAATCACTTTTTCATCCACCATGATTATAATCGTATATTAGGAAATATTTATAAATTTATATTCATATACTATATTAATTTTATATTAAAGCTAATTGTTTCGGGTTTTTTCGGTCCGGTCCGGGTTATAAATTTTAAGGCCCGTTAATGAGCCCGGAATTTCGGGTTCGGTCCGGGTTTTTTGAATTCGGTCCGGTTAAAAAGAAAAAACCCGGACCGGGATCATAATTCGAGTCGGTCCAGGGTCGGTTTCCGGGTTTCGGTTCGGTTTTTCCCACTCCTAGCTGTTGGAGCCTTCACCATCCACGCCGGGAAGTCAACTTCCTCTTCTTCCTCCATGCCGTCCGACCCTTCGTACGTATCCCTGGCCCCTGGCGAGGTTCTCCCCATACCTATTCGGATTTTCAAATAACGGTCAGTTTCATCTGCACTCAAAGGATTTTCAGTTCCCCATACCCTTCGTACGTATCCCTCACCCTTTGTATTAGGTGTTCTGCACTCAAATAAGGTTCAAACTTTAACCAAATTTTTTAACTTCACATTTTATTCCAAAAACTTTCCAAATATAGAAATTTGAACTTAATTGGGAAATCCAAAAAAGAAAAGTGTGAAGTTAATTGAGGGACGAAGGAAATATTATCTTATTCGGATCTTATCAAATTAGAACCACTAAAATCAGATAAATTATACCTGATAAAAAACGTTCAATTCTAAAAAATTCAAACATGATTTGTTACTTCACTAGTGGAAACCGACCTTTAATGTCAATTAAAATTGGCTTTTAATGACGATTTTGTACCCAACTTTATATTTGTACTTATTGAAAGTTAAGACTTTACGTGTTGGGTTTGAAAACCGTTACTAAATGTTAGACTTTTTAATAACGGTCCGGCCAGAACACTCATTAAGTGCCAGGACAATTCATGTCCCTTACATCAAAAGTGTTGTTAAAAGTATTACTTCGTACATATTAGGTTGTTATGACTTATGACCCGTTATGGAAATGATATATGAAATGTTGTTGCTGGACTTGCTGTTATATTCCAACCATATAATCCCTTTCTTTCTCAATCAATCACATTGTAAAATCCTTTTCATGTTTGAGATAACATACTTTGGTGAAGTATTTAAATTTGGCCAAAGTTAAAGCATTCTTCATTATGGTATTGCAAGAACCAGTACACTATGGGTAGTGGATAATATCCACTACCCATAGTGTGGAGGTTTCGGAAAGTAACCCTAACCTTGGTAAATGAAAGGAACTAAATTGTTTTTAAGAGAAGGAATACGGCATAAACAAAAACAATACCTGAATATTGTTGATTATTAATTGTAATTCAAATTGAGTTCAGTGCATATATGTGCTTGCGTGTAATAGACTGAATAAGTGACTATCCTACTATAAATAGTAAGGATTGGTTCACATTTGTAGTGTGTGGCTTTGTAATAATAAAATACCCCCTTTCTTCTGTAGATTAATAAACTAATGGATTGTTAGTTACAAAACGATCACCCCAACAAACTGGTATCAGAGCTCTCATTCCTCCGGACCGATTACAAGATCGCCACTGTGGACGGCGCTGCGTATGACCTAATTCATCTGAAGATTGGATATGTCAAGCTCAAGCGGTTTTCTTGGCAATCTGCCAGTTCTTGATGCGAAGAACTGGGATCGATGGTGTATTCAGCTGAAGGTTATATTCGGATATCAGGAAGTGCTCGATGTAGTAGAGAATGAAATTTCGAGCTTGAAAGAGAATCCAAGTGAAGCGGAACGCAAAGAATATCGAGAGGCAAAGAAGAGGGACTGCAAGGCCTTATTTCTCCTACATCAGGCTGTGGATGATGTACACTTTCAGAAGATCTCCATGGCTAAAACTGCTCATGAAGTCTGGAAGATTTTAGAGCAGTGTCACTCTGGTGGAGACAAGGTAAAACGAGCAAGATTACAAACTTTCAAGCGTCAATTTGAATTGTTAAAAATGCTTGAAAATGAATCGGTTGCTGATTACTTTAATAAAGTAGTGTCTCTGTCTAATTCAATGCAAAGATGTGGTTATGAAATGGAAGTTTCTGAGATCAATGAAAAGATTATGAGAACACTCCTAAAGAAGTTTGATTATATAGCTTGTGCGGTGGAGGAGTCTAAAGATATTAGAACTATGACCACTGAAGCTTTACAGAGTACACTTGAAGTTTATGAGCAAAAGATGATAGAGAGAGATGCTGCAGATCTGCAGGAGCAGGCATTACTTGCTCATAACTTCAAGAAAGGTGGGGACAAGAAGGGTAAAGGGAAGTGGAAAACCAAGAAGGAAGATGCTGAGAAATCAGAGAAGGGTCCCAAGGGTCAGAATAAGAAAAACTGGAATAAGAAAAAGAAGTTTGATAAAACCAAAATACAATGCTATAATTGCAAGAAGTTTGGTCATTTTAAAGATGAATGTTGGTTTGGTGAAGGGAAAGATAAGAGACCTAAGAATAAAACCAAGGAGGGAGAGGCCTATGTTGTGGAGGAAGATCACTCTCCAGAAGAAGAGCCACTTGTCTTAATGACAACAACTTGTGAAGAACCAAATCTTAATGATGACTGGTATTTAGACACTGGCTGCAGCAAACACATGACTGGACACAGGTCTTGGTTGGCTAATTTCAATGATGAACCCAAGTGCTGTGTAAAATTTGCTGATATGAGTACTGTGGAAGTAAAAGGAGTAGGTGATGTGATAATGACAGGAAAAGGTGGAAAGAAAGTGGTATTGAAGGAAGTGTTGTTTGTCCCTGAGATGAAGTGTAACTTGCTGAGTTTAGGCCAGTTGCTAGAAAAAGGATTCAAGTCCGTTATGAAGCATGGCTATCTTGATTTATATGATCCAGATGATGTATTGTTACTAAAGGTTCCTCTATCCAAAAACAGGATCTTCAAGGCTAGAGTTAATACTGTTGAAGTACAAAGCTTGAAGGCTATATCTGTTTATGATGATAATTGGCTGTGGCATGCCAGGATGGGTCACTTAAATTTCAAGGGCTTAAAGCAACTTCATGATAAGAGCATGGTGATTAGTATTCCAAACATAACAATACCTGAAAAGGTTTGTGGAGAGTGTGCAGTGGGTAAACAACACAGGGAGTCCTATAAGTATAAAGTGCCCACAAGATCAACTAAGGTGCTGGATGTGATTTTCTCAGATGTGTGTGGACCTTTTGAGCAAGCTACTTTGGGAGGTAACAAGTATTTTGTTACATTTGTAGATGACTTTAGCAGGATTATGTGGATCTACTTCATAAGAAACAAAGGTGAAGTGTTAAATGTATTTGTAAGGTTCAAGAAATTTGTTGAGAACCATAGTGGAAATTCTATCAAATTTCTTAGAACGGATGGGGGTGGTGAATACACATCTACTGAGTTTTCTAAATTCTGTGAGGCAAGTGGCATTGTGCATGAGGTGACTGCACCTTATACACCTCAGCACAATGGAGTGGCAGAAAGAAGAAATAGAACTATTCTAAATATGGTAAGATGTATGCTAAAAGAGAAGGGTCTGCCTAAGTTTTTGTGGGGTGAGGCTGCAAATACTGCAGTATATTTACTAAACAAGTGCCCTACAAAGAAATTATATGGGGAAGTGCCTGAAACAGTGTGGTCTGGTACAAAACTGAGTGTGACAAATATCAGAATTTTTGGTAATTGTAACACTTAAGATTTAATATAAACGGATTAATAGTACTACTCATACCAACAGAGATGCATTTCCTTTTAAGGGAGCTCATCACCAAGAACTCCAAAGTTAAGCGTGCTTGCACGGGAGTAGTCTTGGGATGGGTGACCCCCTGGGAAGTTTCTCAGGGCGCGCATGAGTGAGGACAAAGTGCGCGGTAAAGGCTCGTGGTGGTTTGTTGGGACAGTACTAGAGGTCTGGAGTAACTACCTCGGGTCCGGTGGGGCCGGGGTGTTACAGGTGGTATCAGAGAAACCCGGCGACAGTGTCCCGATCCGTTGGATATCGGGTGGGCACTTAGCAGGGGAAAAGATTCTGGAGTGTGATTGAGATTGGTTTAAGGGCGCAACGAGGACGTTGCGATCCTAAGTGGGGGTGATTGTAACATTTGAGATTTAATATAAACGGATTAATAGTACTACTCATACAAATAGAGGTGCATCTCCTTTTAAGGGAGCTTATCACCCAAGAACTCCAAAGTTAAGCATGCTAGCTCGGGAGTAGTCTTGGGATGGGTGACCCCCTGGGAAGTTTCAATGATATTAGTGGGGTATCACACTGCAGGGTCATACAAATTGTTTGATCCACAAAGCAATGAGACCACAGAGAAATGAGGGTCACACAGAGTCATTGATTCAGAGACCACAAAGAACTAGACAACCATCTTCTAGGCTCTCTGGGTATGAAGTATATGATGATGCTGAAATTAGTGAGATGGGTGAATTGCTGCATTTAGCTTTACAAGCTGAATGTGAAACACTTGAGTGGGAAGCTGCTCTTTCACAAAAGGAGTGGAAGGAGGCAATGATAGAAGAAATTAAAGCCATTGAAAGAAATTCTACTTGGGAGCTTACTACCTTACCTCCAAATAAAAAGCCTATCAGTGTGAAGTGGATATTCAAGGTTAAATATAAACCTGATAACACTGTGTCAAAGTATAAAGCCAGGCTGGTAGTGAGGGGTTTCCTACAGAAGGAGGGTCTGGATTATACTGAAGTATTTGTACCTGTGGCAAGAATAGAGACAATAAGAATGGTTATAGCATTGGCATTCAATCAAAGCTGGAGTGTAGCTCAGTTGGATGTGAAATCTGCCTTCTTAAATGGAAAATTAAAGGAAGAAGTGTATGTAACTCAGCCTCCAGGTTTTGAAGTAAGAGGAGCTGAAGATAAGGTTCTGAGGCTTAAAAAGGCATTATATGGTTTGAAACAAGCTCCGAGAGCTTGGAATAAGAAGATAAATGCTTATTTGCAGGAGCTGGGTTTCAAGATATGTGTTAATGAACATGGAGTGTATGATAAAAGAACAGACGGTAATATAGTTGTGATCTGTTTATATGTTGATGACCTGTTAGTAGCAAGTAACTCCATGTCTCAGATTGAACTGTTCAAAACTCAAATGAAAAATGAGTTTGATATGACAGACCTAGGACAGCTAGCATATTTCTTGGGGATGGAATTTTGCTTCTATAATGATGGGGTATTCATACATCAGAAGAAGTATGTGAATGATATGCTGACAAAATTTGAAATGCTTAAGTGCAATCATGCAAACAGTCCAATGGAACCCAAACTGAAGCTTGATATGGGTGATCAAGAAAGGGAGGTGGATGCCAAGTTGTTTAGAAGTATCATTGGATCCTTGAGGTTTGTGTGCAACACTAGGCCTGACATTTCTTTCAGTGTGGGACTTGTCAGCAGGTTTATGCAAAGCCCTAAGCAATCACATCTTACAGCAGCTAAAAGAATATTAAGGTATCTAAAGGGAACTGCAGAATGTGGTATTTGGTTTCCTAAAGAGGTAAAGTCTGAAGAAAGAGGTTTGATAGGGTTCTCGGATTCAGACTGGAGGGGAGATACAGTTGAAAGAAAAAGCACAACTGGGTATGTCTTTAAGCTTAATGGAGCTGTAATATCATGGAGTTCAAGTAAGCAGCCTAAGGTTACACTATCCACATGTGAAGTAGAATATGTGGCTGCAGCTTATGCAGTATGTCAAGGGGTATGGCTGAATTCATTGTTGAGTGAGATAACTGGAGAAGCACAGGAAGCATTTCAACTTTTAGTTGATAATAAATCAGCAATAAATCTAGCTCAAAATCCTGTATCACATGGGAGAAGCAAACACATTGAGCCCAAGTACCATTGGCTAAGGGAGAAAGTGACTGAGGGGAAGCTGGTTCTCATTTACTGCAGCAGTGAAGAGCAGGTTTCTGATATTCTTACTAAAGCTCTGCCAGTGGACAAGTTCAGAAGGTTTAGAGCAGAACTTGGAGTCAAATCTCAGGAGTAGAAGACCATTTGAATTAAGGGGGAGTGTTGATTATTAATTGTAATTCAAATTGAGTTCAGTACATATATGTGCTTGCGTGTAATAGACTGAATAAGTGACTATTTGAATTGGTTCACATTTGTAGTGTGTGGCTTTGTAATAATAAAATACCCCCTTTCTTCTGTCAGATTAATAAACTAACGGATTGTTAGTTACAAAACGATCACCCCAACAAATATAAGTTTCTTATACAGCTAGAAAGTGGAATCTTTGTACAGATCATAATTTGCTAGTTTTGTTTCTATGCAGGCATGTCAATTGGAATCATATTTCATTGGTTATATGGCCATCTCCAACAAGCACCATCTTCAACACCAAAATGGTGTATTTGGCAAAAAAATGCTCCAACAATGACACCAAACTTCACACCACTACACCAAATTGGGGGAGGGGGTTTGGCTTTACGCCATATATGGCGCACACCATTTCTTGCGCCATTTTATTTTTTTAGTTGGGGTGTCTGCTTAAAGATTATGGAGGCATCATTTGTTTAATTGCGAACTGTATAAGGAGTGTTTAATTGAGAACTGTATGGGTAAAAGATACTCCGTATATTTTTTAAAAGGTATGGGTAAAAGAGCATTTTATGATAAAGTATAATTTATGTTTTTTAATTTTTTTATTCCTGCTCTCCCTCTCGAAAATGAGTTAAACAAATGGGTTAAAGAGCATTTTATCATACTAGTATAATTTACGTTTTTTTTCGCATAATTAAATTTAATAATGGTAAAATGTTAGTAAAAAGAATAAAAAAGGAATATTCCATTTTAGTGATGAAAATGGTGTAAACTGTTGGAGATAAAATACTGTATGATGTGATGTTTACCCCATTTTAGTGCAAAAAATGGTGTAAACTGTTGGAGATGGCCTAAGTCACTTTGAAAGACTTGGGTAGAAACAATCATGCTACACATCAGATACAAATATCATTTACCAGCTTCTTGTTTTTCGTAAAGCTTCTTGTTTTTCGTAAAGATATTTGATTCTTTCAAGGGATTTTTGCTCAGCTTCCTCCTCGACCTTCAACTTTGTGTGTGAACAACTTGAGCTACTCAAAATGATGCAATGACTTACGAACCATGTTTGAGAAGTTAGAAACCAGCAACAATTTTATGTTAACAATTATGAAGTACCTCATACAACTGTGTTTCCACTTAAAAGTGATTTTTTTGTGCTTCATTCTCTCAACGACCTGTTTGGTGTTCTCTTCACCAAATTCCTGCTCATAAAACTTCTTCCAAAGCTTATCTATCACAGAGCTAAGATCTCTCCCCTTGCAAAATCAACAGTAGGTTATACAGACCACTAGAACAGCCTAGTTTAGAACTTCCCAAAAAGGAGATTGCAAAATGAACAATTCCTTACTTCTGTTGACTTCTCAATGCATGCCAACTCATCAATAGTACATATAGCAAACTGAATGCACAAATCTACAAGTGAAGGAACATTATGATTGACTCTCGTGCTTCCCATTATGTGCTCCTATATGTTTTGTCTGCTAATACCTGGAATCACCAGCTATTCATAAATCATAACCAGAATAAGGAAGAGCCTAAATTGATACCAATTAAAACATACTCTGTAATTATCATAACACATAAACTCAAGAATCCTTTTAGTTTGGATTTTTGAAAAGTCCTATGCACTCACCTAAACCTCAGGGTGTTGATTTAGAATTGTCTCAGGAGCTGTAGTTGTAAATCTTCTTAATTTGTACAAGACAGATATTAATTACTAGATCATAGATTTTGACAAAATGGACTAAAGAAACCCCCAAACAGGAAAAAGAGAAAGAGGAAAATTAACGTGATATTGAGGAATCTAGCGTGAAGATATTTTCTTCTTTCTCTTTTTCCTCAATATCATGTTAATTTTCCTCTTGCATCATATTTTTGGGAGAATTTGACTTAGCACCCCATATTTGGGGTGATATTTGACTTAACATCATATTTTTAAAATCATTAATATATGCACCGATCAACCCAAAAATTGTGAAGAAGTGGGGTGCAAATTGAAATTATTTTATACTCCCCCCGTCCCACTAACAATGGGACAAAGAGTAGCACACAAATTAATAAAAAGTGGTGTATATTGGTTGATATTGGAGTAATGAATTGGGTGCATACATTAATTATTTTGAAAATAGGGTGCAAACTCAAATATCACCTAAAACATGGGGTGTAGAGTCAAATTCTCCATATTTTTATTTGATCCAAACTCGTCTCGTCTGTTTAAGTGTGATCTAATCTAATCCGACTAATCTAATATTCCCTCTGTCCCTTAAAACTTTGTCAAGTTTGACCGGCACATAGATTAATAAAGTAAAAACTGTGTGGTTGAGGTTTGTGCAGAGGAGAGAGAATTAATTGGAATCATAAATTCTTTACTTAAAATGAAAAATGACAAATTTAGTGGGACATCCAAAAAAGGAAAGTTGACAAAGTTTTAAGGGACGGAGATAATAAATGTCTAATTTGATTTGATTTATTTAAATCTGATTTGATTTGATAAGATTTAAGGAGTGTTTGCGATTGTTTTTACTTCAAAAAAGTGATTTTTTAAAGTGATTTTGAAAAAAGTACTTAGGGAGTGTTTGAGTTTGGTTATGCTTTTTAAAAGTGATTTATGTAAGAGATTATTGGAAAAGTGATTTGTAGTAGAAGTAGATAGTGTTTGTAAACAGAAGTGATTTTAAATAAAAGGTAAAAATTGAAGTGTTTGATAAAAAAATGATTTTTGATGAAATATTTTGTTAAAGTACAAAATTGGCTTTGCATAAACAAAATTGGAGGTCCATGCGTTCTTCCTATTCTTTCCTCCAGAGGTGTCATTCCCCTGTGCCTGCAAGTCGGTGACTCGGTGCAGAAGCTGTCATACCCACAAAATTTGACTTGTTTCCACATCGAATTCATTTTCTCCATATGAAATTGGGTTAGCAGCAGAGGAAGGTGGGACATGGAGTTACAAATTAAAAGGCTAGAAACAATATTGCAATAACGTAATCGGAAGCATTGCCCATTGAGAGAATTAATGAGGGAGGGATTGATGGAATTAAAACTGGTAATTGAGAGGGAAGAGTTTGGAACGAAGAGTAATGGGCCGAATTGATGAAGTGAGGTTTGCAAAACAAAGGTATGGACATGGCAGACTTGAGGAGTGCACTGGCAAAACGAAGAAGATGACGGGGCACTGGTGATCGTAGGGTTATTATACCTAAAGTTTGAATTATTTACAAAAATATCAAGGGGAAATGGAAAAGAATAATCCGACTTTTACCCGATCTTCAATTAACAGTTCGTCTTATTGAAAATCCATTAAAAATCCCATCTTTACATACCATATTCCCTCATCAGTCCCGAGCACCTGTTACCTGCTAGAGCGGTCAAAATTTTTAAAAAACGGCTGATTTATTTTGACTTACAAATATGACCCAATGGATTTGAGTTGACCCGATTAAACCTAATTGTAAACCCTGTTTTTTGAACCTGGATTAAGAGACGACGACTAAATGGAGTCCTCACTCATGGTTTCAGAGGGCGGCTAAATGGAGACTGGCGAGAAGAAAGCGCCGTTGATGCAGGTGATAGTAGACATCCTTTATTGCACTTAGCGCCGATCGATTACACTTCTGCTGCTTGTCACCGAAGAAGCTAAGACCCACAACCATCGGACTTCATTTTTCTACTTCCACCACAAATAGTAATTTAATTTCAGAAGCTAATAGTTATAATGAAGATGGAGGAAGATAGAGAGAGTGTGCAGGGAGGAAGTCAGAAAACGGGAGGAAGAAGATGGCTCCCATGGAGGGGAGGAACTTCCGCTAGGTAAGGGAGATGTAGATAGGTCGAGCAATCAACTTAAAAACCCCTCTTATTAACATTACCGGTAATTATAAACATTAAACGTACTACACCCGGTAACTTCCAGGTCGGGACTGATAGGGGAATATGGTATGCAAAGATTGGATTTTTAATGGATTTTCAATAAGACGGACCGTTAATTGAAGACCGGGTAAAGGTTGGATTATTCTTTTCCATTTTCCCAAATATCAAAAAGCTATTAGAAGCACCCTCCAACCAGCTTTGAAATTTTAGCTTAAAAGTGCTTTAATTAATCATATTTTTGGGTTTGCAAACACCATGTTTCGTTTTTTTTTTTTTGAAAAAAAGTTGAAAAACACTTTTTAAGGTAGCTTTTGGAGTGATTTGGAAAAAGTGATTAGTAGTAAAAGTTGATAGGGTTTGAGAAAAAAGTGATTTTGAAAAGTAAAAGTTGGTAGTGTTTGGTAAAATAAGTGTTTTTTGTGTGATAGAAAAGAGAAAATCACTTTTCACATGCAAGCCGAGAAAAAGTAAAAATTGGTAGTGTTTGGTAAATAAGTGTTTTTTAAGTCAAAAGCTGAGAAGTACTTTTTTAAGATGTTGCAAACACTCCCTAAAAGTGTTTGCAAACACACCTTTAATAGTAAAAGTTGGTAGTGTTTGAAAAAAAGTGATTCTGAAAAAGTAAAGTTGGTAGTGTTTGATAAAATAATTACTTTTTGTGTAATAGAAAAAGTGAAAAGCAGTTTAAAGCACCCTTCCACCCGCTTCCAGCTTTTAAGTGATTAATTAATTTAAGTAGAAACTTCATTTGAAAACACTTTTATAACTTTTTGTAAAATAAAAGCTGAACAACACTTATTTTAAGGGGAAAGGGCCAAAAATGACATTAAGGTTTTTAATGAATCTCGAATAGGACACTCAGGTTTAAAGTGGACCAAATAAACACAAATTTGAACTTTTACCTTCATTTTTAACCACCACTAACGTTGCCGTTCCAACAACCGTTTCCCAGCTACACCGCCCCTTTCCCATACGATTAAACACACAACCCCATCGGCCCACTTCTCATTCTTCTCGACTTACTCATCTACTCTCTCCCTCTAATCTTCATTTCTGCAACCCAATTATCTATTTCTGCCATTGAAATGTTGAAATCTCCAGACCCACATGCAGATTCTTGTTCATCTAGGTCGGCTGCTCACTCTGTGTAGTGTTCATGAGCTTTGTAAGAGCTTCATGGCCTTCTTTATTGGGGGCTTGGTGATGGATTGCTTCAATTTTTATAACATTTCAACACAGATTTTGATTTTAGGTTTGGGTTTGGGTTTTTGTTTTTCAACATATTGTGTCTGTTAGTGCCTTTTCTTGTGGGGCTAATGAATTGGTTCTTCACGTGGTTGGTTAGCGTCCCAGGGAATTAAGTTGTGGTTTTGCTCAAAAGTTGGTTTTGATTTGAACTAAGGCTTAAAGGTTGGATCTTGTAAATCGTGGAAGAACTTCCGAGTATTACAAGACATGGGTATGCTGGAAGAGAGCCGCAAAAAATGATGAAAATAACGAAGAAGAAGAAGAAGAAGAAGAAGAAGATGGTAATGGAGAAGATAAGGTGTTCGACGTTTTTACATTGAGAAAAATGGTAAAGGTTGAAAGAAGGAGAGCAAAATGTACTGAATTAGAGCTTGACCGTCGTCAATTTCACCTTTCCTTCCCCAAACACTTTTTGAAGTGATGGGTCACAGTTGAAATATGCAGGATCCTCAAGGCATTGCAACTTTCTGGCTTTAACATAGTGCAGATATAATCCTTGCACGAGTAACTACTTCCACACCCAAGACTTCTGTCAAAGCCTGTGACACTTTATACTTCTCAGGGGAGTAATTTAACTCCAGTCTAATATTCACAGTGAATTCTTGATCTCCCCTACTTTTCACCTCAAACCCTTCGTGAGATTGAGGGGATCGAGAACTATCCCAAATAATCATATAGTTATCAGGATAAAGCTTCTGGTCTAGGGAAATTGATACTCTTTTAAAGAAAGTTGAAAGGAATTGATGTTTTGATGATTGATACTCTTTTAAAGAAATATTCATGCGTATAGTCCTGGGTACATGATGTTTGATGATTTCTGTAACATGGCACCCTGATCTGGATCCAATCCTTCCTCTAAAATCCTTCCTACTATTTTTAGAGTCCATGTAGCAGTCCTAGTTTGGTTAGCAAAAGTGTTGAACACATAGATGGTGGGGTCCTTAATGCCTCCTGGATATCAATTTTCTTTCTTAAGAGTGTCAGATCTATACGAGACTCAAACTCGAGCAGCAGAAAAGGATGGCTTCAGGTAGTGCAGCAGAGGAAGCCATGGCTATAATTCTGAGACTTCAGAAGGACAAAAGAAGGATTGAAGGACAAAAGGATAGCTCACGAGAAGCAACACCATGACCAAGAAGTGATCAGGTAGCCATTAGAAAGTGTTGCTTTAGAAGATTGAGATTTGGTGGTCAAAGTTGGAAGCAATTTATGATGATGAACAATGGAGACTCCTCTTAAGACGAGAGATCAACTTGGAGCTCTCCTAATCCTCACTTTAGCTGGAAAACGGCTGTTTAACGATTGTTGGAACAACAACGTTAGTGGGTGGTTTAAAATGAAGCTAAAAGTTAAAATTTGTGTTTATTTGGTCCACTATAAACCTAGGTGTCCTTTTCGAGATTCATTAAAAACCTTAGTGTCCTTTTTGGCCATTCTCCCCTTATTTTAATTTCTTACAAACACTCCCTTAATCTGTTTAAAAATCTATTCTCGACCGCAAACAATCTAAATAAAATCGTCCTCGGTCGTAAGAAACTAAAAAAGTACATTTAAAAAAAAGGAAGAAACATACGGTGCAATTTTATAAATTTGTGAACTTTTTAACCTAACATGTATGTTGGGCCGATGGATCGAGTTCTGGAATAAGAAGAGACTCTAGTCCAACAACCCATAGACACAATTTCAACAGTATAAGTAAGGCCGTATGTGGAAGAAGGTCGAGCGCATAGCTATCACACATACCCTAGCCGAAGAGGCATAACAGCGCCGGGGCCGAGTCGGTGCGGAGCATCCCGTTATACAAAGAAATCGCGGTGCGGTGGGCGGAGAAGAAGAAAGTTCCATAGTCGGATCTTCTCCTGCGATTCCTCACCGCGTTTCTTTGCATAATGAGATTGTCTGGACCGTGTTTTCCCTCCGATCAACGACTTCACCGTACGGTGAAAACCAACCAGAGAGGCGCTTGCTTGCACGCGGCGGCCGTCTTATGTGAAAGCCATTCTTCTCTTCTGTTATGGCCCCCTTAGTTCAGTACCTAAATTTTATGTTAGATAAGCTTTTCCCAAATCTGTTATTTAGATTTATCTGGTCGCCTTGGCACTATGTTAGTTGGTGTGAAAAGAATGATCATTAAAAAACGTAAGTTATTTGGTTAGAGAGCAGTGAAAGAAAAGTAGAAAACGGTCGTCCTGTTTGGCTGTAGAGCTTTATAAATCATTACTATTTGCACTCTGTTTTTTAAATCATTAATATTTGCACCCCGTTTTGAAAGGATAAAAATGATTCTCCATCAGGAATCAGGAGTAGGTTGAATCAGGAATATGTTGAAGGGCCATCAAAATTGATGTTAATGAGAGGCATTTTAGTCTTTTTCATATGGGATTGGGTGCAAATATTTAAGATTTCAAAAATGGGGTTTAAACAATAAAAAGCAAGTGGCTGTTTATGTATAACACCATTTTATGTAAATTTTTGTCTTTAGGCACAGAATCCACTTTGGAACGGAAGCAGTCTAAAAAGGGGATCATAATGGAGAATGCTCAAATTCAATTGGGTCTGGGTTGACATCTTCTATATCCGGCTGCTTCAAATTCAATAGTAATGCTGCAAATAAAGGAGAATGCTGGGTTTTTGGCCTGGCTTTTTCGTGATTCAGCTTGTAGTTTCAAAGGTGGAGGATCAATCAAGCTAGTAGGGAAATGTACGCTCCGAGAAGCTGATTTTTCAAATGAATCGAACTGATTTTCACTGCATCTAAACATTTGGATCTGCTTTGTCACAAGATATCATTTACATGTTGTTAGGACTTGTTCATCATTGCAATACTCTCCCCCCCCCAGCATTGTGTAATTGAATCTTTTCATAGGATATATGGGGTGTTTGGATCTGCTTCATATCGATGTGTCTGGGGAGATTAGCTTTTGAAAAATTGATTCTGTTTCTTCTTTTAGAAAAGAAGCAGAAGCATAAGCGGTTCCAAACACCCCCATAATAAATTTAAAAACTTGTTGATTGTGTTGTAAGAAATCGTTGACTGAGTTAATGGAATGACTAACGATATTGAAAATCTACTAACTGAAACATTGGCTGACTGAGCCCCTAGTAAACTGACCTTGCCTGGTAGCCCTGTTGGAATACTTCTTAAATCCAAACCCATTTGAACTTTCAAAGTGCTTTCATCCCTCTTCTAAACTGTCTACAGCTTACCTGGTTTAAAACCATATCTTGTTATCTGAAAAGTTGACCAGCTCACCCATCTGGACATTATGGGGCTATTGATTTGCACATCAGTCTTTAATAACTGAGCTTATTATGCTGCAACGTATTTAATGACCTCATTGTTGGCCACTTGAGTTTTGACAGGCACCCATGTTGGCCACTTACAGTGTTCCTCATGACCACGGCCTGCTAGCCGACCTCCGTATATTTTGTAAATATTAGAAATTACAAAAGAATCATACTACGTATAAAAAATAAAGGAAAAATTGAAATTAATAATCCCAACTATTGACGGTCCGCTGATAATAATCTCAACTATTGATTATTTTTGTATAATTCCAACTATATGGACAGTCCCCCAATAATGGTCCATGACCAAATATTATACCCTCAAAAAGTGAATTTTAAATAGAAATCAAGTTTAAAAATTAAAAGTTGGGATTACTTATAAGGATTACTTGTTATATCTCTCTTCATTCACTTTAGAAATTACAAGAATTTGTTTAAAGGAAACATTATTGGCGGAAGGTCCCTAAAGTTGGAATTATTCTGAAATAATCGATAGTTGGGATTATTTTAAGCGGACCGACCATAGTTAGGATTATTACTATCAATCTTTCCAAAAATAAATTGGTTGAGTTTTGAACTGACATTTTATTCCCCTCAACAACATAACTGTAACACAAGTTTTTTGAAAAAATGGCATAAGGACGATACATTTCATAGCTCATAATACAAGAAGCATTCCCACCATCACAAGCTACTTGCTCACTATACAATCAATTACCACATTGGCCTTCCGAATGCTCAGGTGGTACATATGTGAACATCATTTCATATACGATAGCCTACCATAAGAGGCAAAGTCACACTGCCAAATCATAATCATGCTCAATAAGCAATAGACTAAACCATCTCGTTTCCAAACAGAAAAAAGGTAGTAAAACAGGGTCATGTGACATGCATTTTTGAAACACCAGGACTGGCTGCCTAACTAATGAAAAATTAATTTTGAATACTCAACTTTGATGAGTTTGATCCCAAGATCCGCCAGTGAGTATCCAGGAAGTCAACCACCCATCGTAGGAAAGAAATTGAAACATGCTTTTATCTCTTTAATAATTCAATGGAAATGTATATGTCCTCTTCAGAATTGATTTAACTTACAAAGTCAAAAGTTGCAAAAGTGTACATACGACTTCAGGGGTCTATAAAAGTTAGTAGCAGAGTTTTTAAGAAGTCGATGTGCCAAATTTTTAAGTTAAGAAAAACAAAAAGGGCTAAATACCAGTTGCATCCGTTATCTATTAAATGAGTTTGGAAAGAAAGAAAGGAGTTTCCTTAGAAATGGAAATGAGGATATTCTGTGGAGCACTAATATTGTCATTCTTTTGCTCTTTGGTTTCCCCAGATGGTCAAGGTATGCTCTGGTTTCTAGTGAATAATTAATTGAGAGATTTCCTGAGTAAAACATAGCTGCCTTCAGATGAAATATGTTTTTTGTTTTGTTTTACTATATAGTGCAATTTCTGTAACTATTAACTCCCTCTTTCTCCGAATGGCATTGCATTTAATTTGCAAATTGCAATATATCAGTTTTAGGATATTTAGGATAGGATGTATCTTCAAAATTCTTTTGAATCATCTTTCTATTAGGAGAAGCATTGACTGCATTGAAGGAATCATTGAAGGCATCAGGTAGTCAGCTTAGCGATTGGTATACAACTTCAGTTAATCCATGCACATGGTCAAAAATTAAATGTGATGCTAGTAACAATGTCATCAGTGTGTAAGTGACCTCTTCCTTGAGGATGTTCTTGAATATCATTTATGTGGGCAAATTAAACATGATGTAGTCACAAATTTTTCACTGTGGTGGTTTGCAGGTCATTAGCTGATATGGGATTTTCCGGCACTTTGTCTCCCAAAATAGGAGCTTTGAAGAAGCTAACCATATTGTACGATCTCGAAACCCAGAGTGTTACATATATTCTTTCGTATTAATAGTTGATTGCTTTGTTCCGTGCTCGACTTGCCTCACACCACTTGTTTAATTGCTCAAAAAGAAATTTATTGATGTCATTTTCGGTCAGCGACATGCAAGTAAAGTGCAAATGATGAGTTAATACTACCTTCAGTCATTCCACATAACAATTTTTTTTTATTGATTTTCTTAGTATGATTTGGCCCAAGAATTGAATGACACCAACCCAATATTGAATTATATTCGGAGTGATATAGTACTTATGATGTAGATCGTTGCAAGGAAATAGGATAACTGGTAGGATTCTTGAAGAACTTGGAAATCTGTCAAGTTTGACAATGGTTGACCTGACAAACAACCAATTGTCCGGAGAAATACCACCTTCGCTTGGAAACCTCAAGATGCTCCAGTCCTTGTAAGTTATCGCCCACAGTTCGCTCAAGTTTTTTGTTTTTGCCTACATTTTCACAATGCATACAAACAGGTATTTGAATCAGAATAATCTCACCGGGACAATCCCTCAATCTCTTTCAACCCTTCCAAGCTTAACTAACTTGTGAGTCATCACTCATGAACCTCATCTTGTTGGAAATGCCATTTCCATGTAAATTATTTGCTGCACTTATTATTTTTATTATATATGACTAGGGTGCTACTTTATATACTTGTGAACCTACTATAGTAGGGGGCTAGGGGCATGCCATTCCTAAATTAACTTTATGGAGATGTTCTTAATTGCAGGCACCTCGATTCCAATAGTCTTACTGGTCAAATTCCTAAAAGTTTATTTGGAGTGTCAATACAAGTAGACCAACCTCTTGCTTTCTAGGATAGTTTAATTCATACTACGTATATGATTGCTGACATGTTTATATGACAACCTTGATTATTTGTTCCAGTTTTACAGGTAACCATTTGAACTGTGGCTTCAATTTTAGCCGGCGGTGTGAATCTAGAAACGGTAAATAAAATGTCAATGCTTTTATTTCTGAACTAGAGTATTAAAACTTTGGTTCCACCAAAAAGTTCAACTTGATAAGAGAAGTATCCGAAGGTCATAGTTTGTACGTGTGATAACATAGATTTGAGTTCTAAATGTTAGCCTATACCTTTTTATTTGACCCGTGTAGGACGTCTCAACATAAAAATCTTAACTAGTACATACTTCATATTAATCTGGGAAAACCCTTTTACACAGTACATAAGATTCTCATAAAAGAAACCATGAAAGTATTATAAAGTAGTTGTACCTATGTGCTGATTTAGTTGTAAATTTGCACTCTTTGTAAAAACACTTTTAGTGTGTACAAGGGACGGCTCTCATTCATTTTCATATGCTGTGTCTGGCCTTTCCGTGATGAGTTAGCCTTCTGTTGTGGGCAGTTACCCCAAGTAAATCAAAGACTGGGGTTGTTGTTGCTATTGTTGTTGGACTTATTGTTCTTGCGGGAAGCTTACTACTATTTTGTATGAGGGGCCGACTTAAGGGCTACAAGCAGGATAACTTTGAAGATGTTGCAGGTTGGTATTAACAGTACATACTTTTTTTGGTATGGTCAATATGAGTAACATAGTTGCTTTCTTATTCTTATCTTTCTATTCTTTCCTTTTGTGGAAAGTGGATATATATGCTGCACTATAAGCATTAATGTTTGTCACATATATCTTACTCCATCTCATTATCAATAGATAAATGGCCAGATGGCCCTTGTTATATTCAGGAGAAGTTGACCGACAGATTGAATTCAATCAGTTAAGAAGGTTTTTATGGACAGAGTTGCAAATTGCTACAAACAACTTTAGTGAAAAGAATGTACTTGGACAGGGAGGTTTCAGAAAAGTTTACAAAGGAGTACTCGCAGATAATACGAAGATTGCTGTTAAAAGGTTAACAAACTACAAGAGTCCTAGTGGAGATGTTGCTTTCTACCGTGAGGTTGAGATGATAAGTGTTGCAGTTCATCGGAATCTTTTAAGGCTCATTGGCTTTTGCACCACTATAACAGAACGCCTTCTAGTTTACCCGTTTATGTCGAATTTAAGTCTTGCCTCTCGTTTACGAGGTAATATCATTTTTCATCATTTCTTTGAGCTTTTTAATGATTGACACACACTAGTTTTTTATCGGTTAGAGATTTTTTGAGTTTCTTATCTCTTTTATAGTTTATTAGTTCATGATTAATGTACGAGACTTGTTCCATTATGAAATTAAACTTAAGAGGTGAGATTTATCTCATACTAGTACTTTATACTAGATCTAGTAAAAGTTCCTTACATGACATTATATTCTAACATAAATTCATCTTGCTCCTTTTGGAGCAAATGTTGTGAGTGAATTCGGTCTTTTATTTCTTTCTAACATCTAATTATCATACTATTTTGGGTGTTTTTTACTGAAATAACTTTTAGAACTTCAACCTGGGGAGGCTGTTCTGGACTGGCCTACTAGAAACCGAGTGGCATTGGGCATTGTAACCCAAAAATTATTCACCGTGATGTTAAGGCTGCAAATGTATTATTAGATGAATATTTTGAAGCTGTTGTGGGTGATTTTGGGTTGGCAAAGGTGGTAGATGTTGGAAAGACCAATGAAACCACTAGAGTTTGTGGCACGATGGGACACATTGCTCCCGAGTACTTGCATACGGAAAATCATCAGAGAAAACTGACGTTTTTGGCTATGGAGTCATGCTTCTTGAGCTTGTTATAGGTCAACGTGTGGCTGACTTCTCTCGCCATGAAGAAGAAGATGATGTTTTATTTCTTGATCATGTAAGTTTGGCATTTTCTATCCATGTCTCCATTTTACTAGGGGTGGGCAAAAATAGTAAAGAACCATGGTAGTCGATAGGATTATAATGGACCGACCTATTAATGTTTTCTAAAATGGGATGTTCTTTTTTCATGCTAATCCCGAACCAATCTCAAATGGAATGGAATCAATACACACTTTTTGTATTACGGTTATCCTAAGCCAGACCATATGTTTTATTTTTTTTAGTATCAATACTTTAATCTTCTAGTTTTAGTTATTCATTATTTTATACGTAGTAAGTTTTTTACTCTATTAATCTTGTCTAGCCAGCTACTAGACATATGAAAAAAGTTAAGTGGCCATAGTGCACATCCTACTTACTACTTAGAAGTTAGAACTTACTACTATTAGTAGTTTTATATCTTCAGAATCCATTTGAGTGTCAGACTTCAAATAATTATTCTTTATGTTTCTTGTTTTCATTATACTATCTTTCTATATACAAAAGCAGGAGAAAAAAGGCCATTTTCCCGCCCAAACAATTGCCCCATTTTTGTTTTGGGTCGGGCTTAATGGGTTGCATAATGGGTCGGTCGTACATTTTGCTCCAGAGAGTCAGTCTATGAATTATTTATTTGTGTATTTAATGCTTTGTCCAACTTCAATAAAATTAATCTCAGGAAGTACAATGTTTGGAGGCTCAAGAAAATGCATTTAATGCATGGTACGTTTGCAATGATCGTTCAAAAGAGGATTTTGAATTTCAAAGTGTTCAAAGAATGTGTTGCCGTGTTTCAGATAACCTCTTTAATGCATTTGTACTGTTTATTGTTTTTAATAGTCTCGAGGAAAGCATCTATATTCCCAACCGAGTTTCAAAAATTCTACAACGGCTGCCTTAAGCCCTTAATAGCACATTAAATGCCCAGTACGAAAATATCTTTGAAAAAGATTGAGTGGCTCGATTAATAGCCAATGGTGAAAACTTCAACTTAGAGACCATCCCAGATTTGCCTATATAAAGAGCTAAAACTTTAGCATACAACACCACAACCATTCTCACACCACTTCTTCACTAAAATGGCAGGGACAGTTGCAAACACTGGCATGTGGTCTTTACTGGATGTTGTGGATCACCCAAAATTAACGTGGTCTCTATGAGGTTCCTGCCCAAGCAAGGAGTAGAGACATTTGGAATTGAGTAAAGGGTCAGTTTGGTCCTCGAAGTTGTAAAAAAGACGTCAAATAAGTCCTTATATAGAAAGTTCTGTCCGGACGTGCCATTTGAGGTGGCTCCCGGTAGAATTTTGTGATAAATTCTTTTGAGCATCTTATTCATTAAGTCTAGTTTACTCATACCAAATTTCAGCTAAAAATTCAATCGGGAAGGCATTCAAATGAATTCTTGAAGATAACAGCGCTTTTAACGGCACAGTTATCTTCAAGAATTCATTTGAATGTCTTCCCCATTGAATTTGTATCTGAAATTTGGTATAAGTAAACTAGACTTAATGAATAAGATGCTCAAAAAATTTCATCAAAAAATTCCACCGGGAGCCACCTCAAATGGCACGTCCGGACAGAATCTTCTATATAAGGACTTATTTGACCCCTTTTTTGCAACTTCGAGGACCAAACTGACCCTTATCCCCATTTGAATTGGTCCTGCATGATGCAGTGGTAAACCGTGTGTTTTCATGCTGCAGTATTATGGAAAGGGTATTATGAATGCAAACTGTATGATGTTATGAACATTTGCTGTCATTATTGAACATGAATGTTTACAGAAATAATGCTTTACATTAAATATAGTCAGGCTTCAAGGAATGAGTATCCAAGATGGTTTCCAGACACATTTAGAAATAACATTTAGAAACGTAACACATACTAACAATGCCAAATGTTTATTAGAGGTAACCAGTGCTCAGCCCAACGAACTGCCAGACCATGCAGTTCCAAAGGCCACTTTAGTGGCTGGCAGGGCATCTGACGGTCGTGGTGGATGAGCCATAATAACCAGTAACCACATTTGTTTTTTGGTGTAATTAAACATGGTTAAAAGGTTTCAAACTGATGAAAAATCAAACATAAATGATTATGCAAAACATATACAAGTGAACTTTCAGTAAGGTGTGATTGTTACATGCAGCTCTTCATATGAAGAGGATCACAAAAAGCACCACCCTGAATGCTAAAAGAAGTCTTCAAGACTTGACTGACAAAGGTACTGTTGGGTTAAGGGCCCAAGCCGAGGTCCGGCCCACTAACCCATCTTGCCAGACGAGCGTCCGGTTAGGACACTAGGCCAGCCCACAGGCCCATGTCCCCTGAGGATGGACGAACGTCTGGTGTTGGAGGACTCAGGCCCAGCAGCTCATCCCGACGAACGTCTATGCAGGGACAAGGAGCAGAACCACGGGCCACCAGGGATGGCGACGAACGTCCACAGAGCAAGCCTGCGGTCATCGGGGGAAACCCAGTCCACATGGTGAGTATCCATCAAGGCCAGGAGACGAACAGCCAATATCTCCCAAGGGTCCCTTGGAGCAATCCAACTCACTTCCCGGTGGACGAACGTCCCCACTAATCCGGCGGGAAACCGAGATTCTGGCGGGAAGTGCATTTAATGCTAAAGATTTGGTAGTTGGGACACCAGCGGTCCACAGGCTGCCACGTCACTACAGCCACCTGCCCATTGGCGGGTATAAATAGAAGCATTTATTCCATTGTAAAGGGTTGGCAACTTTCTATTCTTAGCAGACTAGCTTCAGCATTCTTACTCGCAGCATTCCTAACTGCCTTGTAAGACGAACGGCCGACGTGCCTTTGTTAGCAAGTAGATTGTACCTAGGGGAGTTATTACGAAGTTAATAATACCTATTTACATTGCCTGCTATTACTCTTGTTTCCTGATTCATCTAATAGTTGTTGGGCTAGATAACCATACATCCACTCCATTCGAAACCTTTGGGCTTACGTGTTGGGTCCACGGGTTGAAGGAATAAACCTCAACACTGGCGCCGTCTGTGGGAAACTGAACAAAAAGTTTCCAGAAACTCTCCCAAACAGCTACTAAGTCTACCTACAGCAAGTACGATGTCAGGAAGCAACGCCCAGCGTGATCTCTCCGAGCGTCTGGAGTCGAGCCGCCGGAATCGCGGCCAGAACTCGGAACTATCCGCAACAATATGGACTTCAGGGGGAAACGGGGGTATCACTGACCTCATTCCCCTGGAGGCCAGGCAGGATCCCCGCCTCATGCGTGAACTCGCAGACACCATGCGTCGCATGGCGGACGAGCGGGAGGCCCGAGAGCAGGTGTACTCTGCAAGCACTCAACGAACGCCCCTCTCTCCCATACGCCGCATGCAGTCGTACGATGATACGACAGGATCCAGTGACCACCGGCCCTCAGTCCACGAGCGGCTAGGTGGGGGTTCAGGCTCCCGTGAAACGGGAGGGCGGACCAGGGTCAGCATCGCTGCATCCAGGGCTCTCACACCATCAGCTCCTCGCCAGATTCCGCGGGGGGACGAGACCCCAAGGGTCCACACCGTTGGACGACGTTTCCAACGGCGAGGTGCACAGATCTTCAGGCGGCCGCACGATGTTGTGGCCGCTCAGCAGAATGCCACCCCCGAAGCCGCGCCCCCTGTGTCCCCCAGAAGGGCCGCACAGGACGCACGGCTGGAAGCCATGGAGAAGCAAATAGCCGAGATGAATAGGCGGGCGGACGCCGGCTCGGCCACACCCTCGTTCTCTCTCACATCACCTTTTACCCCACGGGTGATGAGCGTCGAGATTCCCCGGGATTGCAGACCCCCGGGGAACTTGGTGTATAATGGGGCTGGTGATCCTAAGGCCCATCTGATAAGCTACCAAGGGAACCTATCCATGCTGGGAGCATCGGACGAGGCCATCTGCAGATTGTTCTTCAGCACCCTCAGGGGGCCAGCTCAGGAATGGTTCGGCCAGTTGAGGCCAGGCACCATTGACTCATACGAACAGCTTTCCCAGCAGTTCATGGCACAATTTGCTGCCAGCACCACCCCCAGGAAGGATGTCACGGCTCTTGCCCACATCAAGCAAGGGCGGGACGAACCGCTGGCTAGATTCCTTGTGAGGTGGAGGGACGAGGTACTACAGGTCGACGATCTGGACGAACGTCTGGCCACCAATATGTTCACCAGTGCGCTGGCCACAGGGGATCTGTACCGGGACCTGAGGAGGAATCCCGGCACCAGCTACACCGAGGTTTTGGCTCGGGCACAAAAATATGCCTCCATTGAGGAGGAGATCAGGCAGCGGGACGGAGTTCCCGCAGTCCAGCCTAGGAAGATGGCGGACAGGCTTGGACCCAAACCGGGGCCCGGGCCCTCACCCCCGAACAAAAAGAAGAGGACGGACGGAGCGATGATCCCATGGAAGGCTCCCTCCGGAGACAGCCAGACTCGGCCGGACGACCGCTACATTCCATTGGCCTATCCAGTTGACCAGATCTTCGAGGCCATCAAGGACAAGGGCCTCCTGGCAGAGCCTCAGGATATGAAGAAGTATATGGGGCTTGACCAATCGGCTTACTGTGAGTACCATCAGAGGATCGGCCACCTGACGGACAATTGCAGCCAATTAAAGAAAGCAATCGACGAGCTGATCCGTCAGGGGTACTTGGGCGAGTTCACCCAGCTGCTGAACAAAAACAGTCAGCAGAAGCCGACCCCAGGGCACAAGACATGGCGCCGCGACAACCGGCGCGAGGCAGAACCTCAGGACGTGGATTACCGGAGTGCAGATAAACGTCCGGAGGGGTCCCTCGGCCCAAAGGGGAAGAAGAAGAAGTTGGAGATCAAGGTGATCTTCGGGGGCGCTGAGACAGGAGATACACCCGCCGAGCGGAAAAAATTTGAGAGATCACTCTATGTGGGTTCCGTATCAGCACCCCCCACCAAGCGCAATAAGACCGAGGCAATTACCTTCGGCCCCGCTGATCTGCCAATGTCACCGGCGCCGCACAGAGACGAGCTGGTGATCAGCATGGATGTGAATGATGCCATCGTCCGCCGCGTCCTTGTTGATACTGGGAGCAGTGTGAACATCCTCTACTGGGAGGCTTTCGAAGGAATGAAGCTCAGGAAGGACATGCTGCACCCTCTGCGCACCCCGCTGTCCGGTTTCACCGGGGACTGCATTGACGCCGAGGGCACCATCGCCTTGCCGGTAGAGATCGGCGACGGCCCTCATACGGCCCGGATCAGCATGACGTTCGTCGTGGTCCGCCTGAAATGCGCCCACAACGCCATTTTGGGCCGGCCCGGCTTGGAAGACTTGGGGGCCATATGCTCCGTACGGCACTCATGCCTCAAATTCCCCACCGACACTGGGGTGGGGGTAGCACGTACGGACCCACATATGGCCAGGGCCTGCTACACGAAGGCCATGGAAAAGCTCAACGAGCGGGAGGCTCGGGTCAACAGCATCTCCGAGAAGGCCAAACAGGCCGACTTGGACGCTCATCTGGAACCAGCCACTCTGCTGGAGGAAATCGAGCTCGACGACCCGACGGACAGGAAGGTGTCCATCGGTGCAGATCTAGAGCCGGAAATCAGGGCGGGGGTCATAGCTGTCCTGCGGAGGTTCCGAGTCTTGTTCGCCAGAGGACCGGAGGACATGCCGGGCATCGACCCCAACCTCATATGCCACAGACTCGCCGTGCGGCCGGATGCCAAGCATGTACAGCAGAAGAAAAGGTATATGGCGGCCGACCGACGCGATTTCATCAGGAAGGAGACGGCAACCCTCCTCAGCATTAAACACATCCGGCCGGTCATCCACGTGGAGTGGCTGGCCAACGTGGTACTAGCCCCGAAGGGCGACACTTGGCGGATGTGCGTCGATTACTCGGACCTGAACAAAGCTTGTCCGATGGATCCATACCCCGTTCCGAGGATCGACTTGCTGGTAGATGAAACAGCAGGCTGTGAGCTGCTCAGTTTCATGGACGCATTCAGGGGCTATCATCAGGTGTTCATGCACCCCGATGATGCCGAGAAAACGGCGTTCGTCACGGCGGACGGTGTGTATTGCTACATCGTCATGCCGTTCGGCCTGAGGAATGCCATGGCTACCTTCCAAAGGATGATTGGGATGTTGTTCAAAGACGTACTTGGGAAAACAATGGAAGCTTACGTGGATGACATCCTGATCAAGAGCAAGAGGAAGGAGGACCATGTCCGGGACATGGAGAGGGTCTTCGGCATCATGGAGAGGGCCAGCATGAGGCTCAATCCGAAGAAATGTGCCTTCGCCGTCCGGGGCGGCAAATTCCTCGGCTACATGATGAGCGAGCGGG